TGAGATGGGGAAAAGGAAGAGATGTGATCTGAGGGTAAATCCGATGGATGGCTGCCTGCAGCGTTTGATTGAAAAAAGGATACAGCTGTTACACTCTGTAGTTGCACAAAGGATTAAACTGGAAGAGAAGGGGCGTGTGAGCTGGGGTGTGGCTCAAGGTCAAGAGTTGAACCTAGCCTTGACCTTGGCACTCGGCACCAGTCATATGTTAATGGGAGGACCACAAGTTCCTCTCGCCAGAGATAAGGAGAATGACTGCTGTATCAGGCAGAAACTTTCCTCAAGCCCCCAGGGAATGGCGATGCTTACCCAAATGCCTGATCTTGGGGAAAGGACTTCTTCGTGGACCAGAACCTATACTACAGTTTAAGGGCAATTTCATCCCTCAAGGTGATAGGCACTGAGCTCTCCCCTAAATGTGTCCCTTTGTGTCTTACTGTCCCCCTCATGTGCTCCTAAAAGGGAAGGTCCTGACATCTTACTCTTTCCCATTATACAGCACCTTTCTGATTTCTCCACACTTATTTACTGAACTCTTGTCCTTAATGGCCTCAGGCGCTGGATCTGAATGGTAGGCATTTCATCCTCAGGATCAGGTGTGCCTAGTGAATCTCTAACTTTCCTATTCTTGGTGTGATTAGGAGGGCATGATGGAATTCCTGGATCTGCAGTGGCAGGGATTTTTGGGATTTTTTTGTTTTTGTTTTTGTTTTTGGTTTTTTTCTAAAGAATTATTTTGTTAGACAGGCCATCATTGTACATATTTTTACCTATTCCCAAGGCCTGCACAAAATTTCCCAAAGGGAAAGACATTGATATTGAGAATCATTAAAAATGAAAGTAAAAAGGCGCTGGAGAAGTGTGGTCTGCAATGTTGAAATGCTGAAACTTTGTCAAGCAGCAACGATGACCAGGCCGTCCATGCCAGAACCATATGACACACGGTTTTAGGTGTTTCTCACTTAGCAGACTGTCCTTGGGTCACACATGTAGCATCACTTTCTGTCTAGACGCCATGATTTGAATATTACTGTTTGCCCTGCCAGTTCATCAGCTGATGGTCTTCTGTGTTGTTTTAATTTGGGTCTGTTGTAAAAGATGTAGCTGTGAGCATTTCTGTACAAGGTTTTCTTCTTTGTTTGTTTTTGAGACAGGGTCTCTCTATGTATCTCTGGAAGGCCTGGAACTGGCTTTGTAGACCATGCTGATCTCAGGCTCAGAGGCCTGTCTTCCTCCCCAAAACTGGGACATTTGCACTCACCGGTCTTGTGTGTGACGCACTACGAATGGTACATGATTTGTTTGTTTGTTTCTGAGACAGGATTTCTCTCTGTGTAGCCCTGGCTGTCCGGGAACTCCATTTGTAGACCAGGCTGGCCTTAACTCACAGAGATCAACCTGCCTCTGGTTCATGATTAACCCTGCTGTGTTTTGTTTTTAAGTGTGTGTGGGGACATTGTGTTTTCATTTCTCTAGCTGGAATTCCTGAGTGCAGGATGGCCTGTGCCTCCCTGTGCAGGCATTTGAGGAGGGGCTGGGCTGTTTTCCACAGGGTGAACCTTCTTCCTTCCCCCTCACAGTTCCACGCTGATATTTGTTGCCCTCTGTGTTTTCTATTGCTATCACCCTAATGGGTACAAAGCGGCATCTGTTGCTTCTGTGGTTTTTACTTCCCTTTCCCCCATTGATTAAAGACATTGAATGTACTTATGTGCTTTTCTTCTTTTGTTACTAGAATTGGTATGTGTCCGTGCTCTCTTAAGTGGGAAGGAAAGGGAGAAGGAGGAAGGACAGAAGGAAGGATGGAGGGAAGAAAAGGAAAGAGAAGGGAAGGAAGGAAGGAAAGAAGGAAGGAAGGAAGGAAGGAAGGAAGGAAGGAAGGAAGGAAGGAGAGTAATATTAACCTTTAGGGTGACTGTTTTGTTTTCCTTTTTTTGTGTGCATGTGGAGTGTGTATATTCATGTGTCTGTGCGTACACATGTACATGCACGTAGAGATACCTGAAGTCAGACCCTGGTATTGTTTCTCTGGAGCCAACCAACCATCTTGTTTTTAGACATAGGGTCTCTCACTTGCCAAGTAGGCTAGGTCTCAGGAATCTGACAGTTTCATTAGCACTGGCATTAAGAGCTCAACACCATGCCCAGCTTTTCATGTAGGTTTTGGTGTATAGAACTCAGGTCTTCATGGCTGCAAGGCAAGTACCTTTCTTACCAAGATGTCCCCCTAGTCCTGAGTGATTAATATTGTAAATAGGCTTGCTGCAAACTTGCTTGGATGCCTGTTCTTTGACCATTGCTAGTCTGAGTTCTTTCCATTGTGTGTGTCTGTTACTGCTAATCATTAAGTCCTTTCATGGGACCAAGATTCAGTAAGCATGTTGTCCTAAAGCCTGCCATTATCTGCCTTTTACTCTGAGATATGCCAGTATCTTCTCAATGAGGACTTCTGAAGTCATAACCTCTGTCTTCCTGATGGGAATCACAGAGGTCACTCTGTGTGCTGATAGAGTTTCTGTTATTTCACATCATGCATTCTATGGGGGGGGGGGGGAAAGGCCATTCCTGGAAATTCTGTAGTTGCTTATGATTGCCCCCCCACCCCCCGTCAAGGGCTCTGAACTCCCTTTAGCTAGGGCTTTGGACTCCAAATGTGTACCTCCCTGAGCATCTCTATTCTTTTCCTGTTGCTGTGATACAATTCAGTGAACAAAGCTTGGCTCACAGTCCGTCATGAGTGGGGATGTCAAGGTGGCAGAGCCCTAACAGAGCCAGTCACATCACATCCACGATCAGGAACCAGAGAACAATGGATACCAGCTCATTTTATACAGTTCACAATCCCAGCTCAGGGAATGCCTTCACCCGCAATTAAGATGAGTCTCCCCACCCTGATCAGTGTAACCAAGATAATCCCCCACAAGTATGGTCAGAGGCCCATGTCCCCGGTGAATCTAGATCCCATCACATTAACAGTGAAAAGAAACCTCTGGCTGAGCTGGAATAATTTAACTTAGGCTGACTTCGCCATCATTTCACCCTTAGAACAAACCATCTGGGTAGCTTTGACCTTTCCAAAGGAAAGGGTTAGAAGCCTCCGACCTATCAGAGGCCCAGTTTTTTATCTCATTCTTGCTGGGGCCCTTCCTGTTACAGCCTTCATCAGCTTCATCACTGAGGAAGTAGAACGGGACTTCCTGTCTGAGGGTTTATGGGTAATGTTGTCAGCAGTTCAAAATCTGTCCTAAAATAGTCAATGAAAAATACCCCAAAAGCCCCCTTTTGGGTATGGCACCCTGCTGATGTGGCCTGGGAAAGTCCCCTCAGATCTGAGGTGCTAATGATTGTGGATTTTCTGGAAGGAAGTGCTGCTTCATGCCCTGGGGGGATAGCATTCAAAGTATTAGCTCTCTGAGGGTGGACATTCCATCTTGCTCACATTCGGTCCCCAGGTACTCAGTGTGTATGTACTTGAAGACTACATGGAGAAAGGAAGGAGGGAGGATCTTGTGTAATCCAGCCTGGAACTCCTCGTGTAGCCAAGGGTAACCCTGGATTCCTGAGCCTTCCACCTCTTCCTAGCGGGAATGTCACATGCTAGGGTGCATTATGCCCACTGAGCTGTGTCCCCAGGCCTGACCGTTGTCTTTCTCTGAGCAGGCACATGTAAGTAGCCCTTGACTAGTGAATCCTTGACCTAAACACTGGAACTTCAGAAGCATGTGAGAAAGCTATGCAGCCTTCTGTTTTCAGTGTTGTGTTCAATAGATTTTGAGATACGTACTTTGTTATATTAGGTGCCTGCACTCAACTGTAGGCTAATACAAATGTTCTGAATATGATTTAAAAAGACCAAGCTAAACTATGATGCTTGGCCGGTTTTAAGTATATCAAACACAATTTCTACTTAATAATATTTTCAGCTTATAAGGGAATTATTAGGATATCATCCCAGTGGAATGGGGCCTCACTGTGTCGTCTTTCTGTCACTGTGACAGTGTTGGACGTCATGACTCTGGCTAAAGAGCACATGCCTGTGCCTACCCATCCATATGTCTGCAACCTCTCCGCAGGCCCTCCTTGCTGAGAAACCCCAATAGAGAGCACCCGCCCTGTCTGTGCTGTTATCAGATAGGAGACGAACATCTTCATATAGAAACTCTGCCCTTGAACTTTTCGCTTTGCCTCATGACGGCAGTGAAAGTGAGTTGTGCGGAGAAGCTGCCAGCCAGCCTCGGGCTTCCTGTGCAGGGAGCGGGTCCTCTGAGGTTCAGCTCTTGCTCCAGATAGCTGGGTCAAGGGGCTGGCTGGGGTGAAGCTCGCCGAGAGAACGAATGCCTAGCATGCACTCTGTCTTTGATTTCTGGCACCTCCAACCTCAAGCTCTGCCTCCGGCATCCTCTCTCTTCTGGTGCTTGGGAGTGGCGCCTGGCAGAGACACTTAGGCTGGAACACTGGTAGTGAAATCCAGCCATGCTTAAACAACACAGGGCCATCTCCCCTTTCCTTCTTAGCATCCTCTGAGGACACATCCACTTGCTTGGGCAGCGCTCCGGCTGCATGAACAAGCTTTGCTCCAAGCGCACGATGACTTTCTAAGCTCAAGTTAGTTACACATGCACAAAGTACAAAGTGGCCACAGGACTCTGCCCTCCCCATGGGTTTCTTTGCTGACATTTGGTGACATATCCTTCCATCTCCTCTGCACCTCGCTTCCTGTTTTGAACTAGGTCTAGAAGTGGGACAGCCCTACTACACACCTGTGTCCACACACTCAGATGCACACTTCCTCCGGTATATTTGTCCAGCCTTGTTGTTGCTTTACGGCCTTTCTCTCCCGGGGCTCACAGATCCCAAATGTTAGCCTAAAGCGCTGAGTCAGCACATCAAGCCGAGGCGGAGAGTGTCCATTCCATGGAATGCTCCCCCAGCACAGTTGCAGTTCCTGATTGTTGTGTTTGGTTGCGGCCACATTGCTAACTGTCCTCCCTCCTTCACAGCAGAATGGAAGCCAGGCAAGGAAATCAGCTGACTCAGGAGCCGGAGTGAGAGCCACCGCACCCTCCGCCCCAGCCTGCACCATGAGCTTGCCTTCACCTTCCGCGCGTTGAGAGCCAACAGGAGGGGTGCATTGCTAGAGAGAGATGGCTTTCTTTACTCCCTGGAAGTTGTCCTCTCAGAAGCTGGGCTTTTTCCTGGTGACTTTTGGCTTTATATGGGGGATGATGCTTCTACACTTCACCATCCAACAGCGAACTCAGCCGGAGAGCAGCTCCATGTTGCGGGAGCAGATCCTGGATCTCAGCAAAAGGTACATCAAAGCACTGGCAGAGGAAAACAGGAACGTGGTGGACGGGCCCTATGCTGGCGTCATGACGGCTTACGGTGAGTGTGGTGGCATGGGCATGGGTTGCTCCACTGAGCATGCCTGGGCTTGGGAGGGACCCCAGAAGTTCCCACACGTAGGCTTGCTTTGGGTTGACGATTCTCCGTTGCCGTGGGCAGTGACTACATTTCTTTATGTATGTGTATCGTTTTCTTTGCATTTATGTGCATTTATGTGTGAGTATGGATATGCCCATGCCAGAGGTCAGAGGGTAATCTCAGGTGGTGAGTCCTTACGTTTTTACCATGTTTGCAACAAAATCTCTTGTTGGCAGCTGCATGCCAGGCTCGCTGCCTCCTGAACTTCTGAGAGAATTTCTTGTCTTTGCTGCCCGTCTCTGTCCAGGCACACCAGGATTTTATGTGTATGCTACTGTAGCTAGATTTAGTGGGTTCAGGGGATCTGAACTCAGGTCTTCACACTTGTTCAGCAAGCTCTTCTATCGACGGGACCACGCGCACACACACACACACACACACACACAGCTGTGCTTTCAGAAGAGTGATGATGCAGTGCCCTTCGTGGTACTCTAAGCTCCTGTACACACAGACACACACACCCTCCCCGGGCATGCCAGTCAGCACAACTGGTGCTCCGTGGATTGTGTTTGCAGACGGTCCCCACTCTGTCAACATATATCTAGACTGCGTTCGCGGGAGTGTGTTCATGGAATGCCGGCAAATATTGTCATTATCGGCCCTTAAACGAGATGTAATTAGATACAGTTGGAGGGGGGACTGGGAGAGAGGGACGATGGTTTGGGTGCCATCAAGGTCAGTGCTGAGCTAGCTGATAAACTACCCTGTCGCTTTAGCATTTGATATCTCGGACTTTACTAGTTGTCCCTAATTTTGCTCACTCCGAAAGAAATCTTCTTGCACCCATTGCTCATTTTCAGGGGCCTTAAATCCCGTTTCAAATGACACGTGAGGGCTTCACTTCCCTGGCGTGTAGCATGCATGATGCCTCTGGGTTGGATCTGGGAAGAGTGGCACATGCCTGGAACCCCAGAATGGTGGCAGGAAGATCAGATGTGCAGGGTGGCCCTCAGCTACCCAGGGCACCAGGGCATTTGTGGTTACATGAGAGTCTCTCTCTCTCCCTCCCTCTCTCTCTCTCTCTCTCTCTCTCTCTCTCTCTCTCTCTCTCTCTGTGTGTGTGTGTGTGTGTGTGTAAAATAGCTACAGCTGAGGAGCCCTGGTGTTCTTTCTCAGTTCTTAGGATCCAAATATAGTCACACTATGTGCTTTTTACGTATCTCTTTGAGCTTTGTCAGCAACAGTCTTGGGGGAGGGGGGATGGCTCAGTTGGTCAAGTGTTTGCCGTGAAACCACAAGGACCTGAGCTTGATCCCCAGCACCAGTGGGAGACGGTCTGGCACGGACAGCTACACCTCCAGTCTCAGTACCAGGGAGGCTTGTTAACCAGCCAGCCTATCAGGAGCTTCAGGCTCACCAAGAGACCCTACCCCCAAAACAATGGGGAGAGCTGAAGAGGAGGAAGACAGCCAGCACCAAGCTGTTGCCTCCATGTGCATGTGCTCACATAAACACCACACATAGATACACACAGGAGAGAAAGAGAGGGGGGAGAGAGAGAACACGCCAAGCAGCAACAAACACAAGTCATATGACTCAGTGACTTGACTTATGGCACCCATCGGTTTCAGAGAGCAGTTACCGCTGGAGAGAAAAGAATAGCATAGAACGTTGGTGTTGCATAAGTGTGATGTGACCTGTGGTAAATGCTGTCTTAAAGGTTTTAATCCTACATGTACTTTGTTATACCCTTGTTGGGAATGGACAACAACTTAGCTATAATTTCCTCTAATCACAGTTTATCAAACTGTTTGGGGGGGGAGACAAAAACATATGAGTTATATATTTATAGACTTGTGATCTTACTAGTTGTTTTTATTATGTGTTGATAAAAAGCTTCCTGCATATTCTAGAGAAAATACATCTGGTCTTAGCTTTTTAGTGTGTGTGTGTGTGTGTGTGTGTGTAATATAAAAAGTAACCCACAACTGTGGCCATAGCTTACAAGGGGAGGACTGGGGGGACCTGCATTCAATCCTCAGAAACCATATTCAAAAAAAAAAAAAAAAAAAATCAGGCATAGTTGCGCTATTGTAATCCCAGCATGAGAGGCAGAGACAACTATCTGTATCCCTGGACTCACTGGCCAGCTAACTTAGCCCACTTTATGAGTTCGGACCAGTGGGAGACCCTCTCTTAAACAAACAACAAACAAAAACAAGCAAGGTGGATGGCATTTTCGGGATGACAGTTGGGGGTATTCTCTGGATTCTTCTACATGCACACGCATGCTTACACACACACAGACATCTCAGAGTCTTCTGTTGGAATTTCATCACAGAACATTGCATCTCAAAGCGCTTATAGGCATTATTTATTTCACCCCTTGCAAGATGAACGTCAGTGATGTAATAATTCCTCTTTTCCCCTATGGGAGTGGCACAGGAGTCTCCAAGGAGTCTGACATACTTTCCTCCCACCTCGCTGACATGCCAATCTAAGTGGTCTTTGGGACTGAGTTTCTGGGTCTTGAGAGAGAGTTTGTGTGTGTGCTTGAGGTCTTTCAGACTACCCTGTGGTGGGGTCCTATCGATGTTTTAGGTTGGGTAAGTCTGTATTTCAGTAAGATTTTACTTACGTAACGTTTTAGTTTTATTCTGTCGCGGTTATATATCACTCTTGACCAGAAACAGCTTAGGGAGGGAAATGTTTTATTGGGCTTACACTTCCAGATTGGAGGTCATCACTGACGGAGGTCGAGTGAGGAACCTGGATGCAGGATCCGTGGAGAAACTCCGCTTTCTGGCTCATTCTGTGGCTCCCTCATATTCTCATGCTTAGGCAGCTTAACTATATAGCCTAGGACCTCCTTCTAGGAATAGTGCCATCACAGTGGGCTGGATCTTCCTATTTCCATTAAAAAAAAACCTAAAATGGTCCCTCAGAGACATGCTCAGAGAGAGACTGTTACTTGACTGAAACTCTTGTCAGGCCATTATAGGCTGTGTTAAGTGGACAGCTAAAGATCACTAGTACACACATAAGCTTTTAGCAGGAGATACCAATAGCCCCTGCCTAGTTGCGACAATCAATAATATCTCCTGGTGTGATGATAGAAAAGGTTTGTTTTTGTTTTTGTTTTAGAGTCTTGAGTTGCGTAACCTCACTGTTTCCTTGGCTTAGGGTTTTACACATAGGCAACTAAGTGACAGGGTGATATTAGCTAGGGTGTGATCTAGTGCTAATCCTGGGAAGCTGGAGAAATGTATTGGTGGCCCCACCTTCCCCTTTAATTTGTCACCATTGGTGACATTGACAGATAGGCAGCTCTGGAAGGTGGAGGCAGGAGGATCAGGAGTCATCTTTCGTTACAGAGGATTTTGGAGACCAGCCTGAGCTACATGAAGTCCTGTCTCGGGTAGATAGGGAGACTGTGGGGTGCTGTATGCTTAGCTGGGCTGCGTGGGCCCTCTGTTTGCAGACTCTTGTTTATCTGCCATAGATACAGCCCATGTTGGCGCACTGCCTAAACATTTGCCCTGGAAGAATGAACTTGGTCCTGTGTGTCCAGGATCTGGGTCTACCTTAAAGGGATCCCATTAGTTGACTGAATAAACTTTTCAACTAAGAAGGGATTTGTTAAGAGTGGTGGGGAGGGGAATGAGAGAGAGAGATAGAGAAATGGGATACGTGTGAAAATTACCAAAATGCATTGATGTACATGTATGAAATTGTCAGAGAACAAGAACGTGGAAAACCTCTCCTCCCATTCCCATGTTGGTAGAATCAGAGGATCTTGGTATACTATAAATAGATCTTGGATCTTTGAAGAGTTTTCATATCTGGTTAGCTAATTCCTGATTCATGATAATCCCTGCTTACAGATTCCAGAACAGCAGTGTTGATCATAGCCTTGGCATAGGAGTCAAATTCAGGGTGTAAATAGAGTTGTATTGGCACATGTCCACTGGCATTGTTTATAACAGATTCAATTACTCAGAACCATGGTAACAGCAACATTCATTTTATACAACTTCTGGAACATTCTAAATCCATCCTGCTCCAATCAGCGTAGCCCATTCTTTCTTTGGTCATGTCCTTTAAGTATTCAGCAGCTACCCAGGGTTCCTTTGGTCCAAGGCAGTCAGTAACTTAACAGCTTGTGGCTGAATCCCCCTTGCTACCACAGTTTTGCAAAGAAAGTTCCTGAGACTACAAGTACGTTAGTGACTGGAGGAGATAATGGAAGCTCTCTATCCAAGGTCATATATTCAGGCCTCAGCCTAGTTCATTGTCATTGTAACACAGGATACCGATATGTGAAAGGAATATCATTCCATGCCAGCAACCTTTGCAGCCTGGATGAGTTTTTCTGGAGTTCTTGATTTGGGTCTGAGAGGCTTCGACCCCTCTTTGCCACGAAGTGCCCCTTCTGTCCCCCATCCCCACAGTTATCCCTGTCTTTCTGTATTGCTTCAGTTCTTAAGAAATGAGAACAGAAAGCAGAATCAAAAGAGATTTCTGAACTTCTTTTGGGACTTGGTCATTCAGACGAGCCACGGGAAGGTCCCCAGCAGCCTGTGCAGGACAGTGGGGACATTCATCCATGGGGTGCAGAGGGTGTGGCTCCTGCCTCCTAGCCACACCTGTTTATCCCAAGCTGTGCCTGTTATGGTATCGTAGATGCTGTCACTCACTCTCAATGCTGTTCTTGTTTCTGAGGCGACCCAATCTGTCTCCGGGCTGCTTGACCCAGATTCCCATCCCCAGTGGTGATCTCTTTCTTATCTAAGGCCAGGCCTGGGCTACCTCAGTTCTCTCATTTTGAAAATGCACCACACTGAGACTCCCTCCACAGGACTTTTGTGGAGCAGAGGAAGCAGATAACCCCTGGCCTTGAAGGAAAAATACACGATTCCTGCAGTGGAACCGGTTGGGGAAACGAGGCTCCTGGACTCATC